CTTCTCACAGTTAAGGATGGTAGCTGTGTCCTGTGTCTGTGTCTTTGTCTCTTCAGTGTCACCATTTTACATTTGCACTCTTCCTGTGTCTATCTAGCTGATTTCTTATATTAAATGCTCCTTGTTACCGTAACTGGCAGGGTGTCTATTTTTCTGAGCAGCTCTGACGGATGCAGGGATGGCTTTACTCTCTGGACGTACACAAAATTGCCACCTACTAATGAGGAGCTGGGCACATCCAAGGCCAAATGTTCATGTGAAAAAGGTCAACTACAAGCAAGACGTGGTAGTCGTTAAGCTTGAAGATCCATTTTTCTGAGAAGCTTACGCAGTCTGCCCATTCCCAGTTTCCACTGTGCAATATTTTTTCCAAGGCTAGCAGAATTATAAACACATCAATTTCACCATTATTGACTTTTCAGCTGGAATACCAAGAAAGTCTTGCAGCAGCCTTAATAAATGAGATCTGGCCACCCAGCTCCCAGACTGGCAGGCTCCTACATCATTGACAGAGAAGACAGGGGAAAGCATTTTCCCAGCTGTTGCTGTAAGTGATGTGCATTGTGCTCACAGCCATTAGCAGGTGGAGAATTCGAAGCGTGGGTAGTTTGAAGCGCTCCCTCTTTTAAAAATGCATAAGCACTCTGTGAGTTTGCTAAGTCATGTTTCACTCAGCTGGGCTTGAATTTTTCATAGGGTAGAAGTACTCTGTCGTCTTTTCTCTTACTTTGCGTCAGTCGGACCACCACAGCGAAGGCTTTTGTGGAGGGGGCCACATCCAACATAGGACTTGCCTGACTGGTCCTCGGTTTTTCCAGGCTTTAAAATGTTCGAAGATTTTGGGCTTTAAGGCCTTAGGGCAACTGAGTTTCCTGCCCCTCCCCATTTAATCTAGAATACGAATTCCTCTCTGTTCTGCATTTAAGATTGTTTTATGTATTTTCAGGTAATGTTCCATCCTAGCAGATTCATCCATTTGTGAAATTGTAGGCCTTGCACTGTAAAGGCTCAGAATTCCCCACAACATGCCTTGTTGCACGGTGTGTGCCAGGCACTGCGTGTGCTTGTAGTTACTCCCCCTTCCCACACCATGCAGAGATTACTCAGTACTCAATATACGTTTCCTGAAGTGCCCGACTGCGCCTCCAGTGTACTTCATAACATACTCATTCAAAGCTAAATATTGGTAATATAGCATGTCGGGGAAAATCTAATAATAATATCTGGTAAGCTCTTGATCTTTTTTCTTTATGCAGAATAGTCTGCATAACAGTGTCTGTGGTAGGACCAGTATACTGGAATAAATGCAATAATTGTTGTGTTCCACAAACTATGAAATAGCCCTTGTATTAACCATTTCATCTACTTTTCTTAGGATACCTGTGGAGAAGAATCTTTTCATTGCCTTATTTTTCAGATGAGGCAATGGTCTCAGAGATGTAGATTAACTTATCCCAATTCTCCAGCTGATAGTTTATGAGGCCTGACTCTAGAGCCTGAAATCTGTCCTGCCATGTTATCAATTTGATATAATTAAGTATACATATTTGGGTCTTTCATTCATTCGTCAAACATTTATCAAGCTCGTATTATGTGCCAGGCACCAAAAATGTTATAATATTCCAAAATAAGGTGGAGCTATTAGGCTTTTTAATCAGCAACTAGTTAATAATTCCTTCCAAAGGCAATAGATTTTCTGCTTTCTTTAATATCAATAAATCGGCCTTTTCTTAGAATGAAATGGTTTTCTCCCTACATCTGGCTAATCAATTATAGCCTATTTTCTTCCCAAATGGAGAGAATTATTCCAGCCGTACTGAAACCTCAGCAAATTAGAGGCAAAAGTATGTTGTAGTTTAAAGCATGAAGGTATTTATGAGGCACAGAAATATTTTGTTTCTGTAATTGGAGGGATTCTAGAATACCCTGGGTTACAGATCTGATCTTTCGTAGGTCTTTCCACATATGCAGGACCTGTGAACTCACCTCAGTGGGACTGCAAGGGCCCAGGGTCTCTTACATCACTTTTATGTTCTATTTAAAAACCTCTCTGCTTATGGTTATGCTCCAGGGAAGAGTGTAGTCAGGCAGACACTTCTTCCAAAAAAGAAATGTGGTGGTTTGCTTCGCAACTTGATTATTCTGCAAATTTCACAATGATTCTAAATAGTACTCTCCCTGGACTGTGTTAATATCATTCTCTTCCTTGCTTTCAAAATCATGTACAGACTTCAGAAAGTATCTTATGAATTATCCTCCCCAAGTGGTAAAACATTCAAATGTTCTCATAAAACGTTGAAATATGTGATAGTATGACAGACTATGCTAACATTAAGTTGTTCGATTTCCCTTTAATAGTGATAGTGCCTAAAATAAGTGGAAAGTAATACCTCTATTTGCCTGGAAACTGCAGGATTCCAGCTGACACTTAAATACGTGATCATCCCAGCAGTTCAGGGAGGAGATAGCTGCAGCATTCCCAGGTAGCTGGCAAGTTATACAGGGAAGGCTGCAGTTTACGTGAACACACAGGGATTCCTCACACAATGGTGCTATTATTATTAAAATGACTTTTAAAGAAGACTCCAACTTCCCTTTGGAGTCCACTGAATGACTTCCTACAGGACTTGCATTTCTACTAGTTCCGGGTTTGTGGCCGAAATATTTTGTCATCTTGCTTTAAGGTGACAGGCAAGTGTGTCCTAGAACACATACATGTATTTTTTTTCCTTTCTCTTTTCTGTAATTCACTTCTTTTTTTAATGCTATATTCCAGCTCTGGTTTGATGGTGATTACTCTTCTTAAACTCATTCATTGTAATCATTCCTCAATTGAGTCACATTAGCATAGGGATGCCAAGTTTTGGGAGGCAAAGGCAGATTTTGCCTACTGAAAGTGAGAAATGATCTCAAAAGCCACACTGGCAGACAGAAGCCATTCTCCACTGCTGATATTTTCAGTCACCAGCTGGTCCATGTTGAGTAGCTTCTCTGTAGCATGGAAGGTATTTACTGTATTTGTAATAGCCTGAGATAACTAGGACATTTCTGCTGTTGCGATTCCTTTCAGCTAATTGGATTGTGGCATTTAATTTAATGGCTATATAAATACAATGATTACTCAGCCACATTTTAGAAAGGGACTTTAAACACTGGGGATAAGTTAGAGATAGTTCAGAACCTGTGATTCACAGAAGCTTTTTATTTACTTTCTCTGGAAAAATGCATCAAGATAAGTTGCTTTATAATTTTCAATCATTCAGACATGTAAACAGGTATTATACAAGAAGAAAGGGCATAACATTTCTAATAGTTTCCATCCCAGGTTTCTTGTACTTTGACCATATTAGAAATTGGAATAAAATCAGATCCTGCTATAGTATGAAATAATGTTTGTGAGAATTAGACATAGTGAAATTAAACTAGGTTTCCTTTTTTTTTTTTCATGGTACCGGGAATCAAACTCATGACCTCGCGCTTGCCAGGCAGGCGCTGTGCCACTGAGCTAAATCCCCAGCCCCTAAACTAGGTTTCCTTTAAAACATATAAAGACATACTATCTTTCCTTTAATATTAGTAGCACAAAGAGAATTACGTTGTTTGTTTTTCATGATTTCAGTATAATAGAGTACATGAAATGTCCAGCTTGTATGATCGCTGTATAGCATTAAATTCGTGACTTGGAAAAGGTTGTAGTTCTTCAGAGGGTGGAAAGCCGGGAGCAAAGACTTATGTTCCTTTGTGGCATGATTGTAGATTGTTCTAATTCGTGGAGCCACCAACTATTATCTGAAAAATTGCTGTTTCCAGATTGCTGAATGCAGGCTTATGAGTCAAGACTTAAGAAAATGTAGAGAAAAGGATTCACAGTGGCTTAAAAGTAACAGGGAGTTTAGTGGACTGAATAATTTAAAAGCCTACTGGCAAGAATAGATTCAGGGGTGGCTGGATCCAGGTACTTAGAAGTTGTTATTGGGATCATTCTTTATTGAAGCTCTATGCTGCTCCTTCAGCTGTTTCCTGGAATGACAATGAATACTTCACAATATCCATGTTGGAGAGCTGAGATGTGTAAGATTAAAAGAAAGAATTATAATTCGAAATAATAGAGGCTTTTACAAAATAGAATCATACCCACAAGGAAGAAAAGGCAAATATTTCTGCAGAAAGGTAAATAAAGACTCCGGAGAAAAGTTAGAGCTTCAACACTGTTTTCAAGGAGAAACAAGAATTTTGCAGACCGGCAAATTAAAGACAAAATGATAACTGCCTTGGTTGTGACATTGGGAGACCTGTATTTAAAATCCCAGTTCTGCCATCTGCAAGTTGTGTAAACTGCAGCATGTTTCTTATACACTTGGAGGTCTTAGTTTTCATGTATGGAAATGAGAAGCAGAGCTATTGAGTATATAGAATGATCATGAGGATTGGTGAGAGCACAGACCTTAGGTGGGACTCAGACAAGCAATTCCTCCTTCCCTGGCCCTGTCACTCCACATTTAGAGCCTTCTCCATGTCACACTTGCTGCTCTCACGTGGAGTTTTGGATTAGGGTTTAACCTCAGCCGTGGTAAAGCTGGCGGGCATTTATTGTCAGCCCACTGTGTGTTGCACAGTACATTTCATTTTGACTCTTCTCAACCTCCCCTATAACTCTAGAAGTAGAAAAATTATCTTCATCTCACTGATGAGGAAACTGAAGCTACAAAAATTTAAGGCATCTGCTAAGGTAACAAGGTGGATAAATGATGCAGTTGGGTATTTCTTTCTAGGGTATGTGTGGGTTTCAGCATTATCCTACCTATTCCATGTTATACGTCACACTATCATCTTCCTGCCCTGTAGGACTTGGCTTCTGGGTGCTGCTACTGTAGCCCACCCTGTGTTTATCCTGCTTCTTCTAAAAGCCTAGTCGTGCGATGCTCGTGTCTGTGTTTGTTGCTGCGCTGCTTCTACAGTCTGAGCTGGCATTAATCCCCTGGGTCTGTGCTTCCCTGCAGGTGAGCCTTCCAGGTGGTCATCCTCCCACTGCGACTGCTGCTGCAAGAACGGCAAGGGTGACAAAGAAGGGGAGAGTGGCACATCTTGCAATGACCTCTCCACCTCCAGCTGTGACAGCCAGTCCGAGGCCAGCTCCCCCCAGGAGACGGTCATCTGTGGGCCTGTGACACGCCAGACAAACATCCAGACTCTGGACCGTCCCATCAAGAAGGGCCCAGTCCAGCTGATCCAGCAGTCAGAGATGCGGCGGAAAAGTGATCTGCTCCGGACTCTGACTTCAGGCTCTAGGGAGTCGAACATGAGTAGCAAAAAAAAAGCTGTTAAGGAAAAGCTCTCCGTTGAGGAAGAGCTGGAGAAATGCATCCAGGATTTCCTAAAGATCAAAATTCCAGATCGGTTTCCTGAGAGAAAACACCCTTGGCAATCAGAACTCTTACGGAAGTATCATCTATAGGGGAGGGCTGGGGGTGGGAGAAAAAAAAACAAAAACAGAAAACAAAATCAAGTTACCATTTTGAAATAAATCTCCTAAAAGAAATTCATATTTTAAAGAAAAATAACAACTAACGATACACATTTGTTAGAACACAATAGTCCACTGACATACACTACTGCCTACTTTTACCTAGTTCACCTTAACATGTAAATCCACAGGGTAGATTTCTTTCCAGATGTGGAAATACAAGAAAAAACATCTTGTTGTTGTCGTTTGTTTACTCGGTCCCACGTGCTGAGTATCTTCTGTACAATGACAACCAGCTACAGGAGAGTAGCTGACAGACCCGGGGAGTCATTTATCCCAAACTGGGTTTTTTCTCTCATTTTCTACCTCCCTCCCTTGAACAAGGATATGTGGTAGAAAGAGATCTGGCCAAATGGCATAGGTTTAGTTTTTATTAATATTCTTTTCCTTTTCCTTTGTTTATGGGGTGAGGGGGCAATGGCAGATTTATATGATTTTTCACTTAAAACTATGTGTGCCAGTTTATATTGACTCCATTTGCATGAGTATTTGTGCAACACGGGCACAGCTCTAAGTCTGTATATACACACCATGCACACGACCCGGGGCTTAGACATCCTCAGGGATAAGGGTCACACTCCTGTGTCCGGTGTCCCTTCCTGGAGCCCTTCCGGACGGATGAGCCTCTGCTTGTTTCTTGAAATGCTCGCTGTGGGCAGATTTCCCATCCTTCCTCGGCAACACTTTCTAACATCGAATAACCCTCATCATCAACAAATTGTCTTCCTCATTTTAAAATTAATACCCTCAGGCTCCATTTTATGACTCTGCTCTTTCTCTGCATTAGGAGAGGGTGAGAAGAGCTGGTCAGACATTCTTTGCGTTGCACAAATAATCATTTATATTCGTGAAAATAACTACTGGATGAGTTGAATCATCACCCTCCTCTCCATGTTTCAAAGTTCTCACAACATTTTACAGTGTGGCCTTTCTACACAAACCACACAAAGTCCTCTGTATTTCCGTGTGGTTGTGGAGCTAAGAACAGCATACCATATTTGAGTAAGGATAGAGCCTTTGTTTATTTTACAAGAATTGCATTCCACACACCTCCTAATAATTCATCATAAGAATTTTAAATTATGATGCTACATTACTGCTTGCTTGTAGCCAGCTTTGGTTGGCCTTCAGGATTCTGGTATTTGACTGTGTCCACATTAAGATTTACTTGTGGCATTTTTAAGATATCCATGACAATCCCACTAGGTAACTGAAGCTCCAAAGTTAAGGTTTGGGCTTTCTAAAACTACGTTTTTTCAATCATATCCTTGACTATATGGACACAGCCAAAGCAAAATTGTTAATAGCCATCAATCCATGTGACTTTGTGTTCTATTAATGCACTATAGCTAGTTCTTTTGTAGACTTGTGCCTAATGAAGGTCAAAATATCAGTTTTAATTTTCAACATTCTTCATGCATTTCAGTGGACACTGAAAAAATGATTTGTCAATTATTAATTATGTGCCAATCACTCTTAGCTTTTTGTTGTGTGTGTCTCTGTGTGTGTTTGTGTGCATGTGTGTGCACCACAGGTAATAAAGGCAATTGGATGATGGCTGTAGGAGGAAGATCTAATGATTTCTTTTCTTCTTTTTGAAAGCTTTTGCTGATACACATTTACTGTGTAAAAGTTCTGTATTGATTTCTGTTATTAGTGCTCATCAGTGTATAAATATCTTTCTAAATTTTTGTAATTCTCACCTTCACACCTGGGCAGTAGATTCAGGCAATGTTTCTTCTCCTAATGATTCAAATGGAGTTTAAAGTTTCACTTAGGTTAAAAAAGAAATTTATTTTAGGAATTGTCAAGAGAATTTATAATTTATGGATTTAAGTGTTCTTTTATGTATCAATACATTAACAGATATTTGATTTCAACTGCAACATAGCTTTGCTTGTAAAATCTATGTATACGTCTTCATTATTTTCAATGTGTCTTATGATATATCAAAATACTGTCATCTTAGTAACAGAAAATACTGCAAAGAATCACAGCACTCAAGAGGTTGTGAAGAAATTGAATTTAAAACTTAACTAATTTTTGTAGTCTCACTGGAAGGACTTTTAAAGAATTTGGAATGTAAGTACCTTGGCCAAAACCCCAGCTTCCTTAAATTTCATACCTAACTGTAATAGCATCAAGATAGAGACACACACAGGTAAGAACTGAGGAACTGAGTCGGCAGTCAACCTGTACTTTCTACTGTGTACATCAAACAGGAAATTAAGCACTGCAAAAAAGGTTTTCATTGCACTGATCCTCCAGCTCCTGCAAATATCAGCTGGGTCAGTGAGAGGCTCTGAGGAAGCTCTGAGTTGTCTACTGTGGTCCAGGTTGCCGGCAACAATGGAAATAAGTTCTCGCTATGTGAGTTATGAGATTAAATGCTCTCGTAGCCCGGGTAGTCAGTCTTGTTTCACTGAATCTAAGGCAGTTTTTAGAACGTTTAGTTCAATTCTGGACAAAACCATATATGTAGTTCACTTCTTGAACACTGGTTATGACAAGGACAGTTAATGGTTGATTTGAAGAAACTAGTGGTATCAGATAGGTCAAATGAATGGGGAATCTTACTGTAAGGACCCCATTTAGGTTGTCTCCCAGGAAATCCCACAGTGCTAATTATAGTGAGCATGGGAAGGCCTACCCCTAAAGGTGTATTGGTCCCCCGAGTCATCTACATATTGATGAAGTCCTCCTACCTACTATCAAAAAAAACAGTGATCTACATTCAGCAGAAAAACAAAAAGAGAGGAAAATGAAAATTCCGGATTGTTCCTCCCTGTGCTAAGAAATGATTGCACTGAGATGTGGTCACAAAAAGCAAAGTGGCTTCCAAAGTAGTATTCAATGATGTTTTCCTTTGAAATTACAGCCACAGATACCTTACTGGAAATGCCTAAGTGGCAATTTAAAATGAAAGGGGGAAACAGTGCTCTGAATAGCATTTTTTTTTAACTCTTTTTTCCTTCATAATTATGCCTATTTCAACTGATTCACTTTGGGGGGACACACTGGTTAAGGAGGGCTGACGCAGAATTTTTCAGTTGGCCTCATTTGATTTAGAGGCACCTTAATACACAGGCAAAGATGTTTCACTCATTCTGGATTCTTTTGTTACCATTGCTTGTGCTTCTGAATTAGTTTTATTTCCCTGGGCTTTAGGTACCCCGAGGATCTTCTGTCAGTGCTAAGCAAAATATACTCCAGTGAGAAAAAGGAAAGGTGTTTTGCAAAATCACTTGACACTAGTTGCCACAGTGGGAGTCAAACTTTGATTCTGAAACATTCTTTTTTCTACAGTTTCAATCCTTCAATTTTGTATCTACCACAAAGGATTAACACAGAGCATTTGAGTGCTGATATTTTCTGCCACTAGATATACTGCTACGGAATTTGACTAACCTTGGCCTTCTAGGTGATCTTTACTAGAATTAATAAGAATTTTCTCTGAACTTTTTAGAAAGAATTTTTGTCACCTCCACTTGACATAGCAATTTTCTAAGGAAAAAAGGAGGGAGTTATTTTTTCCCCTGGTGACTCTGTGGCAGAGAAATTTTTTTGCCAATTTGCATGCTGGCTTATAGGTTTAGTATGGGCCATTTCTCTTTAATATCTTGATATAGTGGATATCTTGCAATCTTGATGGCCCACTATTTCATTTTATTTATTTTCTTTTTATATTGTCAAAATAACAAACAGGAGAAAGACTCAAAGTGAATGTTTTGTACTTTGAGTTACAATGGAGTTAGATGTCATTTGTACAGGGCTGTATGATGATTAATATCTGCAGAGAAATTAGACCGAATGAAAGCTGCTGGAATGCGTTTGATTTATATTCCTTTCATCCTTCTGTTCTTAGATGAAATGGTTATTGCTCTCCACCCCTGCTGAAAGAGAAGTTTTAAACATTAATAATCACAATGTTGTGATACAACCGGAGCTTATTTGAAATGTCTGTTTTCCTTATCTTGCCATATACCTTGGAATGAAGATTCTTTCCCTAGTGACTTCACTGCAAACATTTTAGCTGTGATTCACAGCACTCAATATGCACGAAATCATCTATCTCTTTTTAAAATGAAGATTCCCGCACCTTAACTCCAAAGTTTGAGTCAGAAACTTGAATCAGGGCCAAGGAATGTGCATTTTGAAATTCTATTCTTGATGAGTTTAATCAAGGCGGTCTACTGACCTTTCTTTGAGAAACTGCTGCTTGAAGAGTATGCAGAGGTCAAGATTTCTCTCCCTTGCTGTTGGTGCTTCCTTACCTTCTCTCACTTTCTCCTCTCTACAGATAAGTTAACGCATGCATTATTCATCATCTTGAGAGAAAAGGCTCAAAATAGATCATTGGTAGAACCGGGATAGGTCAGACTTTGTCAAGATCCCATGGCCATTCATCTGCCTCTCAGCCACAGTCCCTTCCCACTGCCACCCCATCATTACAATTTTATGCCCAGGTATGTGCAGTACATCTTTAAATGAGATGTATCCTAATGATAGCTAACAAGGAGTAAAAATAATGACCTTTCCCAAGGACAGGTGCTCCTTGCCTTATTTTGAGTCTGAGAAATTTAAGAGTGACCATCTAGCCCTTTTTAAAATGAAGATTCCCATATTCTATGTGAATATGGATTGATTAGTGAATCCAGGTTTATTTTGTCAATGTTATTGACATTATCATGACATTATGAACCATTGAAAACATTACTTTTTCCACTTTGAGGTAGAACTCTGAGAATCTCAGGTAATGAAGTTCTTAAACTCCAACTAAAAATTTGAAGTAAAAACTTGTATATGACAGTAAATGCAAAGGAAAGAGGGAATGAATTCCAAATGGCATTATTCCACAGGTAATGGTCCAAAAGAGAATGAAAATGGAGTCCTGTAATTTTCTAGTCCCTCTGACCAGAGGGGATGGCTATACTACGATTATTCAGATAAAAACAAAAACAAAAACAAACAAGCAAAAACAAACCCTAGAAGGTGGCAATGGCCCTATCCATATAACAAAGTAGCAAGATCGATGTCAGATTCCCACATTACAAGAAATAAAGAAAGGGTGGTTTAAATAATGAATGGCTTGGCATGACTATTAGTGAATATTTAATTAAAGATCATTGCCAAAGCAAATTAAGGAATAGTTAATAAAATAGATGAGCTTGTGCATCTAATTAAGATTATTTGGTCAATATAAAAACAAAACAAAATTGAAATGGTTTGTGGCCTTCTCTCTCCTTCCCAAATGAGATCTCTTACTACCCCAACTTCCTGCCTTTCGAGAATGTTCCTCTTGTTTGTGAGCAAATTGTGTTCTTAATAGGGTAATTAGTTTTAAGCTCTAGGCCCCCATAATTGCTTTATTGAGGGGAATTACTTTAAAAAGGATAAAGAAAAATGTGGCCTGCCCCAGTGACTATCAGGAGGGTTGTCTTGGAGGAAGATGATTTTCCTGTTAATCTTTAAAAGCACTTACAAGAGATTTAGGAAGACTCCTTTCTCCAGTGATATGCTCATCTAGCCAATTCATTGTTAGAACTGACCTCTAGCTAACTTATCTGCATTTGCACAGTAAAAACTAATATAACTTCAGATCCTCCTTGATGTGGGTTCCATCTGTCACAATGGAAATGGAACTGACACATCACAAAAGCAGGGAAGAACTGTTTCAAAATTGTATGTGTGTGCATGTATGGGCATAGGGGCCTATGTGTAATTTTCAGGTTAGTGTTTGGTCAGCAATTAATGTCTGTATAAGTGCTGAATGCTATTTGAAAAACTCTGCTTACAAAGTTTAACAGCTTTTTAGTTTTGAAGGATGCTTGTCGTAGTGTGGTTATCAGTCCTTGAGAATGTTAGGATGGTCTTTTGATATGACACTGCAAATTTCTGGGGGAAAATTAAACCTCCATTTTTTTTTTTTTCATTTATATGGTCAAGAGAGTAACATCTTACCAAAATGAGAAGAAAGGAAGAAAAAAAGAATTATGTGCTAGGGCTCAAGACCTCATTGCTAGATAAGCACTCTTCCACTAAGCTGTAACCCCCAGCCTCTCAGAATTCACTTTTCTTTTTAGTCTTTTTTGAGACAGGGTCTCATTATGCAGTTCAGGCTGGCCTTGAGCTCACTTTGTAGCTCAGGTCAGCCTTGAACTCACAATGATCCTCCTGCCTCAGCCTCTCAAGTGCTGGGATTACAGGCCTGCACCACAACACCCAGCTAGAATTCAATTTTTAGAAGCTAAAACAAACATACAATTCACATTGACCCCCAGCAGTTTTTCTTAGTTACAGCCAGTGGTCCATAGTTTATCTTTTTATATGAAAGACAGCTAGAGAGAGTTTTAAGGGAAGTCTCTTTGGTTTGTATGGCTTGTGTGCATTTAAGTTAGCGATTCTCAACAAGTGATTCTATGGCCCAGGGGTCTTTTAGCAATGTGTGGAGGCATTTCTGATTGTCATGATCGAGGGATGCTATTGACATCTAAGAGAGTTTAGGCTGAGAAACTCTGAAGGGTTGGTTTAAGTTTGTGAAGCATTCTTCCTGTACCATATCCAGAAGAGATGCCATAAAGCAGAACAATAATAATTAGTTACCAATTTAAATGTATACAGGGTTTGTTTAAAGTTAGCTATAATTACCCATTTGATATGAAAGGTAAGAGAGACAAAAATATATAGCCCTCCCCCAGGGTTCTAATAGTGATGAGCCAGGCCCATGGTTCAGTGTCTGTCTTCCATTTCAATTTCTATGTCTTGGAAAAATTATAGTTCATTGACGCTGTCAAAGTTGTAAAAGCTAAATTGTCTGTGAAACTCTTTGGGGAGCTTTTTAGTTTTCATGACCGTTGCAAATGTTTTCAGAGTGATCAATAATAGACAACAAGGTTCTCACAGACATGAAAACAGGAAGGGGAAAAGTTTTTAGAATGGGCTAATGTTTTCATCAAACTACTCATTATGTATTTTATTTCTTTGGGCTCAATATCCACTCATTAAAGATGGCATGTAGATTATGGAAAATATGCTTGCTAGATCCACACAGGGTCTCTCTCCCTGTTTTCAAGAACACAGTATGTTTAAGCACATGCCCTGGCTACAGGACTTATGATATATGCATAAACTACTTCACCAGGACAGACAACACATATGTAATCTCAAATAATTTGACAATTTTCTTTTAATTTAGCATAACAACATCACAAGTGATGGAATAAAGGTCAGATCATTCTCTTCCCACTGTATGCAAGGGGAACCAAGGATAAGAGAATTTAATCATTCATTTATTTGTTTATTTATGCATGCATTCAGAAAATATTTGTTGAATGCTTACCAAGTACAGATCACTGTAATGAATACTATAATATACTAGAGAATTAACTTTAGAATAAAGAGTTTGAATTTAGATCCCTGAAATCCTAGACTAATTTATTTTTGTATGTAGTTCTGATCAACATTCTAGAATTATGGTTTAAATATTAAGTTATAGATAATGTATATTAAGGATTTATTATAATGTGCCCAAAACTCCAAGTGCTTTACATGCCTTATCTCATTTAATCCTGTAACAACCCAATGAAATAGGTCTTGTCACTATCCTCCTCCTTACAGATGAGGTCAGTGAAACTCAGAAACACAGCAGTAAAAGCCCATAGCTCAACAGCGGCCAATTTTCCTTTGATGAGTTGGACTCCAAAGGCTGATGGCTCACCCATCTCACTGTATGACCTGTGCTCTTTGTTTTCCGGACTTTGTCGTTTCATATCTCTTCTACTGTAAGCAAAGGGTGGCCAGGGCGATCCTACCCTGACATCTTTCCTGAAAGTTATTAGTTACTTTAAATTGAATATACAACTAGACATGGATCTCCCAAGAAGACAAAGGAAGGGTAGATTTGGAAGGGTAGTTTTTCCTGCTGTGGGCTGTATCCTATGCCACGAAAGTTATATAAGGCCATAGCATTACAGAACGAATACCTGGTAAGTACTGTTCCATTATGAAGTGGCAGACTAGCTTCCCTCCAGGAGGATTCTACCTGTGACTGTGTGTCCTGCTGTATTTAGGTCACCATGGCAAGTTTCACAAGTAAAATAGGTGTATGAGCATGGATGTGTGGGTTCATATGTACATGTATTTATGCATCTTCTAGTTTCACCTTTTGACTTTAAAAGTTTTTTTTTTTTAATCAAGTCACCTCAAATCCAAAAGAATCAGGTCCCCCAACATCTCATTGTTACTGCTCTAGGTTAAGAAAAGAGAAGCGGCTGCAGAAAAGAAACTGCACTGACAAGGATGAGAGAGAGTGTGAGTGCATGTGTGTGTGTTACTGTGTGTTATGTTTGTGTATAAAACTACATATATATGTACACATGTGTTTACATCTATCCAAATGTATATATATATAAATATATATCTATATATATATGTATACACACATGAAACTCATAGTTTGAAACTTTGGAATTTTGAGTTTGGGAAAATTATTACACCTTACATTTGGTTTCCTCGATAGCCTACTATATTTCTGATTTTGAAAATTTTCTTCCATTATGAATGTATATATTTATCTGTGGTACAGAGAATATGATTGAAATAACTAGATTTAATGTCACTGAATACAAAAATGCATTTAAAGAAACGTCAAACTTACAAAACTGGCTTTCTTATTAAACCACTTGTTGGAATTTCAAACTATGTGTTTTCAAACTTCTTCATTCCAAAAAAAATTAAAAATCCACCAAATGAACAGTGATGATGTTTAGGAACAAAAGAAAAAGAAAGCATATGTATACAATAGCATAAAACCAGTGATTACTGCCCTAATGGTAAATATTGGATAGTTTACTGTCATCTTCTAGTTGTTTTTACTTTAGCATTGATGGTGGTCTCTGTGGCCTATGTGATTTATAGGTGGAGCTCACTGTTTAATTATTTTGAAACTATAGTAGATAATTTGTAATATGCATACTGTAAATAGATACTGAAGCTCAAGGGCGCATTGTAAAAATAACCAAACACTGTCTAGTTTCATGCAAACAAACCTTTCAGCCTGTTTATACAAATACCAAAATAGTTGCTCAAAGAAAGAAGAGTGTATAGACAAATTAAATATAATGTTATTTATTTTGGCATTTTAGAGATACAGCAACCAAATGATCGAATTTTGGGCACTCCAACAAACACAGTAAGTTGTGGTCTCGTTTATAGCCATGGGCTTTGCCTATTGGAAAATACAAAAAGTACTTAACTTAACCTATGCAAACAGAGTTTCCCTGGTGCTCCGTGGGATCAATTTGTATGCCTGCAAGCCTGTCCCTTCAGAAACATGGCTCCCAGCCCAGGGTTCAGCTGATGTACCAAGCACAGATTCCTCCTCTGACATACCCAAAGCACTTGTGAATGAATTGAGTGTGGTCATTCATTTTTTTTTTTTCTCATAAGACCCTTGAAGATGTGGCCTTAAAGGCATTAGAAAAAGTTACTTTTTTAGTAAATATTCTAATTAGGATTAAGGACACTTAAAAGATTGTGTTTCCCAATACTTTGGAACAAACAGAGGTTTTACATCATCCTGGTTTGAAGTTCCCATGCCATTTTCATAGTTTATTTTTAATTTCAAAGGATAATGCTGAATCAGGAGAATTTTTCTTAAAACAGTCTGCTTAGTGTATTTTTTTAATCCTGAGGAGTTGGGAAGTGGGGGTGCCAAAACTCCTCATGACCTTGTTTCTGTTCTAAAAAAGAGACTCATGAATTGCTGAAAATATGTACTACTTAAGATACAGAGAAACACCAATTTAGGGAAGCTGCATTCAGAGTTCCACTGAAAGGTGTTCATAGGACCTGTGTTATGTGGGCCACTCCTTAGATTCGTCATAGCCTTCAGCTTAGTCTGTAAAATAAAGAATCTTTGTGTTGGCTGAAGGAACTTAAATAAAAATCTTAGTTGAATTCTTGTTTCCTTCATCTTTTATAACCAGGGGAGTACTGGGTAGAACCTAATACACAAAATAACTTGTCCAAATTAAATTGACACATTTAAATAATATCAGCACAACCCTTAACATTTATAAAATTAAGGACCCTGTTGACTGAATTACTTGGAGATCTTCAAACGTATTTTACCAGGGATTATCAAGTTCCTCTCTCTATCTGTCGCTGATACTCTGAATGTGATGCCAGCACAGACAGAGAAGTCTGAATTTTGCTGGAACTAACACCAAGTGGAGATTTATTAGGGCCTTGCTCACATTATTCTTTCCTGACCTCATTCAAGCACTTGATGATGTGGGTCAGTTTCTTGCACACTGATGTATACCAAGTGAAACCCATTGAAATTACCTCTTCTCTTTTCCAATGCAGTTTGCTTGTACATAAGTGTAATGTCAACTTGTTTACAGGTTCTTTTTGTGTGTAATTGTGATAGCAGATTTAGCTCAAACTTTACAGGAATCTGTTTACTGAATGGTGTTAAAATGAATGTGCTTATTACAGTATAAACATCATTAATTATGGACTCACATGAATGCATGTCTACATGGCGTCAACTTCCAGCAGCTTGGTTATTCAGCAAAAGTCTGCAGTCTGTGAATAGCAAATATACATAAACTACTGTGACTCTAATAACTCACTAGCTGTTTTACCTTGGTATGTAACACTGTAGATCTCAGCCTGCTGTATTTCTTTCTTACCTATTTGTTTTTGCAAGAGAAACATGCTAAGAAATAGTAATATGAATGTCCCAGTGAAATTGCACACCATTTCGGCAATCATTGGTCCACTCAAAAGGCAATAGCCTGTAGATGGAACAACAGCCCTGAGAAACATATAAATATATACATACATATCTATGTACGCAATATCTACAATGTTAATTATTACCATCTATTCTCACTGCCAATGGAAACAAACTATTATTTTCTTTGAAATCACTGATGGATAAAAAAATTAATTTGCTATTAACTGCTTTCACATTCTGTTTGTTTCTTATAGTATGGTAGATGATACCGGTGCAGTATCAGTATTGTAAAATTGTGTGGTGAAACTACAAAAGTCATTCTGTGGATATATTTTAAAAGGCAGAACAGAAACTATATTTCAGATTCTTGTGTGAATATAATTACAGAAATAGGTAACTATTTTTTATGTGTTTCCATAAATGACTCCATTTCATATACATTGTAATTTAGCACCAATCATAATAAATCGTTTGGTAACACTTAGTTGTTATATATATTTTCAGTACATCTGAGGATGATGATTCAACATTGTTTCATGCTAATTCAAGAATTTTACATAAAAGATAAGTATTGTTGCAATTACCTTATTTCTAGTTTGGTGTGGCAGCTTGCTGATTTGGGCCACAAAAAAGTTGATTATTTAATATATTTAAAGTGTAATTGCAGGGGGCTGGGGATTTATCTCAGCGGCAAAAGCGCCTGCCTGGCATGCGCAAGGTCGTGAGTTCGGTTCCCGGTACCGGAGAAAAACCAAAAACTAAAGTGTAATTGCAATAGGTGGATACCCTCTCCCTGCTTCTTGTTTATTGGGTGGCTTTACACTACTTGCTTATTTATTATTTATCAAACCTGTTTACAGGAGTTTCTTGCCTCATCTGTAAATAAGACATAAAAATAATAGATGATAAGATCTGTTCCATCTTGAGATTTAAAGAGAATTGAGATAATTAAATTAGATAATCCAAGCAAAGCATTTCTCAGTGTCTAACACATTAAACAAATGTTTAATAATTCCTATCCTCACTACTATTACTCAGATATTCCAATTTTAGAGTTTGGCTTTAATACTTTAAATATCTGAATATATATTTCCTCTTTAGCATTTTATGGCATTTCTTATAGAGCTAAATACTTGCTGTGCTTTTTAAACAGAAGAGGAGATTATAGAGAGAAAAACAGTTCTTGAACTTGGAGGAATTCTACAAATAATTTGGCCTTTTGCTCATGTGAAGTGTGTTCATCAGAACTCTTCTCCCATGACATGAACTCAAAATAGGGAAAGAATTGGACAATGTACAGTTTGAGAAATATAACCTCTTTTACAGAAATCACCTTATAATTTTAGAATTCATGTATTGTTCTAAGACTTCGTCATATTTAAGCCCTAGAAGTTTTGCAGAACAGAAACTTGCAAATTTCCTTTTCTCCAAATCTGTCAGACTTCTTTCACCAAGGATGCTTATAGTTTGGGGACATACACTTTGGGAAGTGCCGATTTAGCCAATCTCTTCCTTTTACTGGGGCGGGGGGGGGAACCTGAGACTCAGAGAAGGAAGGGTATGTTAAAGGTGTAGAGGTCCTGGGTTTGCAACCCCATCTATGACATTAGGCAAGGATATTCTGTCCTAAATTATCTCATGCAAATGGCAGTCTAGAGTAATGAGGCTGTTCTGAAAACCTCTTCTAAAATTATAGCATCTGCTTTGCTCAGACCCAGAGTAGAGTCAGATGAGGTACTGGAACCAAGCAGGGGGAAGATGAGGATCAGCGTGCAGTAATCTCTCAGAGTCAGCCACTGCTGAGATCACTTAGGGATGATGGGCAGCACCTGCTTTGCCTCCAATGGGTAATTTTCAGATATTGTCATTGCTATGGGACAGATGTTGGACCATGCTGAACATCAGCCCACTAGAATGATAAGTGCTTACACAGACCAAAATAGTGAAGGCATTTGGAGGAGAATTTTCCTACGTATTCTTATGTGGGAAGCTATGGGCTTTCTTCGGAAAAACTTCGAGGAAAAGCAACTGTGTTGAGAAATTGTGAAATTAATGTCCCCCGACACCCCCCAAATTGTTTAGAGCCTTAACTACCTTAGATTCAGCTTACAGAGAAAGACAAAGCTACCATTCCTGAAGGACACAGATATTCACATAAGGAGGAAACACTGGATGCAGATGTAACTGATTATATCCTTAAAGGAAGGGAAACAGCACATAATTTGTCACTGTTTTTTCTGCCAAGTACAGAAGCTATTTTGTCCACCAATCAAGGGTCCTAAGAATCCTCTTGAGGTACTAGAGAGGTATGGGTGGCGAGAATACAAAATTACTGTCTTGACTTACCTAGGAGACTGGAAGTAAAAGAGGGCGCACGGGGAATCCAGCCAGGAACACGCAGTACTGATGGTGGATCAGGAGACTTTCTGCTTCTGCTCATTGGAGAGATTTGCGTGGAATATTTCCGCATTCACCTCAGCACTGTAGTTCCAAGGAGCCAGTGCCTACACAGGGCCACTGTCCAAAAACTCATTCTTTTGATGAATTGAGTTGAACAGCACTTGATCAGAAGGAACGTAGCTTGTGGAATGAGGTCACTGAAATAGGCGAAAACAGTACCTTCTCAGACGATACTTCTCCTCCCCTCCAATTTTAATCCAAAGGCAGCTTTGCTTCCTATATCTACAAAACACCTAGACCTCCCATCAATCTTGGCCCCAGTAGCAGTTGCCACTGAAACGCCTCAGGATAGGTGTTTATCCCCACAGAAGGGCGGCACAATCTCCTGGCCAGGCAGACAGCAGCAGCATCCTTAAATAAACCAACCTCACCTTGTAAACCTTAAAAATAACAATGTGTCAGCAGCAAAGGCCCAGAGGGCAGGTTTTTCAAATGCTCAGAATGCCAGAGAGCTCCCTGTGTACCCCACGGAGCCATCACTTATTCTTGCAACCGTGTCATGAAAGCACCAAGAGGAAAGTCTGGGGTTGAAATTACATCTTCACTCTTTCTCTTTCCTCTGACCACCATATGGCCTGTGAGGGTAAGGAGAAGAAAACACTCTGTGTGCCTTGAAGATGCCTGGTACATTGAAATGGAATTGGTGTTCTCTACGATTAGGTCCGAGTTCACATGTGCTGCCCAGGCCTACCTCCTCCCCAGTGGATATGAAGCAATTTGACATCGTGGAGACCTACAATCAAAGCCACGGGCACTGCACGACATAAATAAAGCATGTTTTCTCTCCACTCCCCTGGACGCTCCACTTCTATCTGTGCATTTCAACTTCTTCTCTTTTTACTATTTGCTCCTCTTGCTTCTGGAGCGCAGTTTAATAAATCACAGTACTGCTTACTCTTTTATTAATAAGTAAATGTCAACCAAAGACAGAAACATACCAGAGGTGTCTGCTTATTTGAATAGAGAAGATGGATTATTTAATCCCCCCCCCACACACACTCTCCTCTCTAGGTCTCAGTTTCCTCGTCTGATTTATGAATGGAAACTTGGAGAGAGGTTGCCTATGCACAGCTTTGCTGTACTTTTTATATGAATTTTTACCTAGGCTGTGCCTGGTCTCCCACTTGTGAGAAGAGGTATAGGGTGGGGTTTGGGGTTCAGTGGTCCCCCCAAGTTAACCACTTCAGATTGCTTTTCTCTGAGGACTGTAATATAAAGTGAAGGGCAAAGAGAAAGTGAACAGGATGCTGGTAGGTTGTAGACTTAAATTATGTTTCTCCAAAATTATTGTGAACGGGTGTGCTGCCTGAGCTGCTCCGTCTGTGGGAGTGAAGTGAACATACAAGCCCTTCTGCTGCTAATTTCTACGAGTGAAAATTGATGTACTCTTTTTCCATATTACTCAGAGCTCCAGGTTTGTGTTAGCAAGTACAGCACGAGTTAGTGTCTCATCTTCAACACAGACAGAAGGGAGGGAATTGGAAAGGGTGGAGAAGCAGTCAGTTTATGGTGTTGGAGATGAAAAGTGCCACAAGTGGCAGCAATTGTTCTTCCCCCTCTTGTCCCTGAGAAGAATGAATGGCCTTAAGTGCCTAAAAATAATAAGCAGTCTGCTTTTCTTAAAAATAGGGAGATGAATGTACTACTCTTTCTGTACCTGACATTAATAAACATAGGAGGCTATAACGAGGGAAAGAGATGTAGTAACACTCAGGTCTATATAGCTGAAGCATAAGAGAGTTTGTCTTGCTAGACTAAATGAATAGCATGGTAATTATGTTGATCTACTGAGCTGCTACCTGCAGATGTCTTTGGAAAACCCAGAATTTCTGCTCCTAATGGAATGAGGTCTACAATGTCTTCTGGCACTTAAAGTTTGCCTTGAGTGTGCTGGTTCATAAATCTAAAGTTTCTCAAAGCTCATGCCAAGGTTTCAGATTTGGAAATGATTGTACTATTCTTCCCACAACATAACTTGTTATGAGTCTGCACAGCTACCAAATATCTCACTTTGATATTTCTGATGCTTTGAGGAAATGCTGGAAATATAGTAGATTCAAAGTTAGCAAAATTATATAGAAATGTATCAAGGGCATTTTTTCCCTACATTTTTTAGTACTCTTTTATTAATAAGTAAATGTCAACCAAAGACAGAAACATACCAGAGGTGTCTGCTTATTTGAATAGAGAAGATGGATTATTTTCTGTCTTTGACATGCAGGCAATAGAGATACCCTCCTCTTAGTTCCAAGATAATGAAAATGTCCAAACAGAAAGAGCCTTTTAAAGTGCGAAGGATGTAGATACCAGGAACTCTCTAAGTATTCCAGCAACATTAAAGGCAACGCTAGAGGAAGTCTCAACACAAGTACAGATCTCTGAAGGTGTATCTTTTGAAAACATGGGGAAAAGAGCAAAATCACAAGAGATCAAATAATTATCTCCTTTAGGTACATGACCTTAGAAATTTTTACACGGATTCAGCTTCATTGACCAACCTCATGAACTTTTCCTCTTCCAGATCTTTCCCTCCCTTTAACATTATTTCTGCTTCTGTTTTGATTATTTTAATTGAAAATTTCAGAATAATCCTAGAAAAGAGGCAGAAAATAGGCAGCTAGGAGTAAGGATGAAAGGGTTTCTGGGAATGTAAGGAGAAAGGAGGTCTAAGTGCTTTGCTGCCCAAATCCTACCTACCATGTGGGTAAACAGAATAGAACTGCAGAATCCCAGAACTAATCCATTGCCTAAAACCTACTGGAGCAGATTCTGAACTTTAGTGGACACAGATATGTCACATGCATATCAGAGTTTGAGAAACACCAGTCTCAGTCAATAAAGTATGGCAAAGTGCACAGTGATAGCCTCTCAAGGCAAGGAGGAGTGCTGCGGAGGGAGATGTGTGTGGAAGGTGGGTTGTTCTATCCTGTGATGTTAGGTAATGTGGAGGTTCCCATGGGGGCTTAAAAGCCCCCATTTCTGGATGGGATTATTCAGTTTCAATGTGAAAGTTTAGAGGT